TGGAACATCGGAATCCGAAAATTCCAACTGTGTGCACAACAATTAACAAAATGGCGGAACTTTGAAAATTTTTTTATGGAAAATCGCCTATTTTTTACCACAAACTAAGTTAAAAAATAAGGAAGATCTTCACCGATTGGCGTTATCCTAGTTCATACGAGAGCTACACACTCCCAGAGAAACGTGTCAAAATTTGAAACCGATTGGATTACTAGTTTTTGAGTTATCGTGCCCGCCATTCGTTTTGAGAAAAACGCGTTTAAAGTTTGAGAAGCCCTTTAGCCGTCACTTGATGCTGACACAATAAATCGGCTATATCTTCAAGAGTTCTTGAGATTTTTACTTGAAATTTTGTAGGAACATTCTAGAATTAGAGTAGATTCGAATTAAATCAAAAAAAATTTTGACACCGAGAATGGGGGGGGGTCCCCTTAACACATATATACTTGAAGATTTAAATTAGAAGAAAAATAATTTACAAACAATTTTTGTTATTGTTTTTTGTAATTAAAGAAAAGTCCTTATTTTTGATGGCGGGCATGATAACTCCTCACTGAAACATCGGAATCCGAAAATTCCAACTGTGTTAGAAGGAGTACATGTCTGGCTCTCGTATGAACTAGGATTATTGACTTCGCTCCAAAATTAACAAAATGGTGGACCTTTGAAAAAATATTTTTGGAAAATCGCCGATTTTTTACCAAAATCCTAGTTAAAAAATAAGGAAGATCTTCACCGATTGACTTTATCCTAGTTCATACTATAGCTATACACTCACAGAGAAACGTGTAAAAATTTGAAGTCGATTGGGTTATTAGTTTTTGAGTTATCGTGCCCGCCATTCGCAAAAAAATGTTTAGAGAAAAACGCGTTTAAAGTTTGAGAAGCCCTTCAGCCGACACTTGATGCTGACACAATAAATCGGCTATATCTTGAAGAGTTCTTGAGATTTTCATTTGAAATTTTGTAGGGACATTCTTGAAATAGTGTAGATTGCAATTAAGTCAACAAAAATTTTGACCCCGAGAATGGGGGGTCCCCTTAAAAGTAAATAATACAGTCAATGAACTCGAGAAAAATTTTGAGGTTATATAAAATGTGGATATAATTTTAAGGATTCCAACAGTCTGATTCAAATATAATTAATTATACCCTTCACCACACTGTGGTACAGAGTATTATGTCTTTGTGCATATGTTTGTAACAGGCAAAAGGAAACGAGATAGACACATGGTTCCTTTTGAGAATATGCATAGAATCACTTTTTGTGTCGATTTATGCATGTCCGTCCATCTGTCTATCCATGTTAAATTGTAAACAAAGTACAGGTCGCATATATGATTCGAACTGGATGAAATTTGGCACAGCTCATTTTTTTGGCCCAAGGACGAACCCTATTGGGAAAAATCGGTTCAGATTTAGATATAGCTCCCATATATATTTTCGTCCGATTTAATGGAAATTTGGCATAGCCTACTGAATTAAGCTTAGAGTGATGTGTGCTAAGTTTCGAGAAAATCGGTTCAGATTTTGATATAGCTCCCATATATATTTTCGTCCGATTTAAGGCAAATGGTGCACTAAAGTCCCCATATAAATTTCAATTTCCACGAAATTCGGCATAGCGTACTGAATTAAGTCTAGAGTGAGGTGTGCTAAGTTTCGTGAAAATCGGTTCAGATTTAGATATAGCTCCCATGTATATTTTCGTCCGATTTAAGGTAAATGGTGCACCTAAGTCCCTATATATCAATGGATTTGCACGAAATTTGGCATGGCCTACTGAAATAAGCTTAGATTGATGTGTGCTAAGTTTCGTGAATATCTGTTCAGATTTAGATATAGCTCCCATATATATTTTCGTCCGATTTAAGGAAAATGGTGCACAAAAAACCCTATATATCATTCGATTTGCACAAAATTTGGCATAGCGTAATGAATTAAGCCTAGAATGATGAGTGTTAAGTTTCGTGAACATCGGTTCCGATTTAGATATAGCACCCATATATAATTTCGTCCGATTTTAAGAAAATGGAGCACCAAAGACCCAAAGTTAGGCCGATTAACACAAAATTGTGCACAACGTACTGAAGTTAAATTAACTTAGCGTATGGATTTTTTTTTGAAATTGGTTCAGACTTGGATAGAGCTCCCATATATATTTTCTCTCGAAAAATGATGCACCAATAACTCAAAATGTGACCGATATTCACAAAACATACTGAAATTAGTATAACCTAACCTGCGAAAAATTTCGATGAAAACGGTTTAGATTTCTATACAGCTTTTATATATATTTTCGTCCGATTTTAAGTAAATGGTGCACCAAACTCTTCAGTTTTTTTTTTAGATATTTATCAAAAAATCAACGGGAGTCCGAATGATATGCGACGTATGTTAAGATACAACTGTTGAACATACCCAAAGCGGTATCATATAGTCGGCCCCGTCCGACTTTACTGCTTTCCTTACTGTTTTCACTCACTGTTAAGTGAGTGAGTGACTGACAAATCATCGCCCAGACGAATACGGGTTGGGAAGGGGGGTTGATGAATGGAAATGGTTTAAGAAAAAGTACTAAATTTGGTACTATTTGTATTTATTTTAGTGTACAGAGATGGAATTCTGAAAATAAGAATTAGGATTACTATTCGAGTACATTTGAACTACTAAATTGTAGTACAGGATTGAGGTACCTTAAAAAAATCGTTGTTATACGAAAAGTACTAAATGGTACTAAATTTGGTGCAAGTTGGACAGGTAAAGCTGAAGTCTTTAAATAGGGAATTAAAATGACTATTGGAGTGTAGGATTGAGGTAATCTAGGATATTCGTACATATTGGTACGAAAAGTACTATATGGTACTAAATTTAGTACAATTTGAATTTTGCTTGAAAGGATAGAGCTGAAAACCAGACATTTGGAATTAAGATTACTCTTGAAGATTGAGCTATAGAGACATCTTTGGAAATTCGTATTTATGTGTACGAAAAATACTAAACGGCACTAGATTTGGTACAATTTGAATTCGGGTGAACGGAGAGAGCTGGAAACCTAAAATTTGGAACAATGGTTGATGTTGGAATATAAAATAGAGTTATGGAAGCATACTACTTTTGTGTACTAAATGGTACTATATTTGGTACAATTTGATTATGTGTGAACGGATAGAACTGAACTCCATAATTTTGAAATTAGAATTACTGTTGGAGTGTAGGATTGACGTAGTTTAGGAAATTCTTAATTATAGAAACAAAAAGTATTAAATGGTACCAAATAGTTTACAAATTGTTATACAGTTGGAGTGCAGGATTGAGATATGTTGGTAGTTTTAAAAATTCCTCATTTGGTACAATTTAGATTTGAGTGAACGGATAGAGATGGAATGAAAATTAGAAAACTGTGGTAGTATTGGAATTTCGTACTTATGGATACGAGAAGCACTAAATGGTACTAAATATGGTACAGTTCGTTATGTGTGAGCGGGTGTCATAAAATTAGGAATTAAAATTAAATTTGGAGTGCAGGATTGAAATATGTCGGTAGTTTTAAAAATTCGTCATTATGTGTACTAAATGGTACTAAATTTGGTACCATTTAGATTTGAGTGAAAGGATAGAGATGAAAAACGTATATTTGATAATAAAAGTACTGTTAGAGTACAGGATTGAGACAGAGTTGGAAATTCGAACTTATAAGTACGAAAAGTACTAAATATGGTACAATTTGGATCTATTTGAACGGATAGGGCTGGAATCCTAGAAATTTTGATTAAACTTAATGTTGCAGAGTGACATTAGGGCACATTAGAAACTCGTGCTTACGACTACGAAAGTAATAAATGGTACTAAATTTGGTACAATTTCGATGTTGATGAACGGATAGAGCTGGAATCTTTAAAGGTGGTCTTAAGGTTATTATTGGAGTGCATGATTGAGGTAGTACTGGAAATTCGTACTTTGGGTGCGGAAAGAACTTAATTTGGTACAATCGTGAAAGTTGCAACTGAGATTACTGTGGGAGTGTAGGAAAATTACAGAATGGTATCAAATCTGGTACAATTTAGTGAACAGATAGAGCTGGAAATATTTGAAATATTGAGATAGGTTTGGAATATGGATACGAAAAGTACAGAATGGTACCAAATATCGTATAATTTAATTTTTATAATTTTTGTTTGGTGAACCATACAGAGCTGGAATTCTTAAATTTGGAAACTTTTGGAATTTATGTGTATAGAATAAAAAATTCACCAAATTTAGAACAATTTGGATTTAGGTAACGAAGAGAGCTGGAAACCTAAAATTTCGAATGTGGGTCACTGACAGAGATTTAGAAAGAAGGACCAAAGTGTTTTTGGTACTAAATTTAGTGGTGGTGATGGTATGGAGGTAGACTTGAAAATGTGTACTTATGTGTTCGAAAAGTGAAACCTGTAAATGTGGAACCTAAAGTAAATACTTGGAATTTAGATCTATTTTTAATCTGTGTAATGGAAATAAGAACGAGATTTCGGAAAATAGTGCTTATGTGTATGAAGTGTAGTGCTTATGTGTATGTAATAAACATGATATTAGATGTAGAAATAGAGGTGGGATTCAGAACTATAGTAAAGCAAATTATTCAGTATTCACGATTTCAATATGAAATATTATTTTTTGTATTCCCTTTCCGCATACGAAGTAGCGGGCACTTTGCTAGTTTATAGTAAATGTAGAGAGATGTGGGGCAAGTTACAACCCCCTTCCTTACTCACAATCTCGGAGTTTTGTTGTATTCCTTTATTCTACTCGGAATTGGTGCAAATAAAATTGGAAATATTTATTATGAAATTAGTCCCTGTGTTTATTCAAGGGAAGTTCTGTCTAGCCTCAACACCTAAACCCAATAAGAATTGCCAGCACTCCCATTCATTTTTCTATAATAATTAAAAGTTGAGACAATTTCCCAATGTAAATCCGATTTTAATTTCCTCCCTTCTATTTGTTTTTTTTTCCAGAAACTGCTATGGGTGTGTCGAGAAAGACCCAGGATAAATCTGGTTATGAATATGCACTGGCCGTTATGAAAATGTGTGACATTCTCCATCTAAGACATCGTAGCCTCTTTCTGCGAAGTGAATTCTTATTTTCCCTTACCAAATATTATCGTGAACAGGGAAGACTTTTGGATATCATTCATGGCCTGACAAAGAAAGTAATTAAATATAAGAAGGAAGCCTTTAAGAGAGGTACTCGTGGCTCATTGGCTAAATATGAGTGGACTGAAAATGGTGAATTGATAACAGAAAGTTTAAATTCAAATGGTAATATTACCAACACGGAAGATAAAAACGAAAAAGTTACCACTGTAGAGGGGCTCTCATTTGGCCAGGCCGAAGGATTAAAGGATGACCTCGATGTTGATGATAATAATGTGGGTGAAAAGAAACGTTTGGCATTTTTGGATTTACTTTTGGAAAGTGCTCAGAATGGTGCCACAATAACGGATACGGAAATTAAGGAGCAAGTCGATACCATAATGTTTGAGGGTCACGATACAACGGCAGCAGGATCATCATTTTTCCTCTCCCTAATGGGTATACATCAGGGTATACAGGATCGTGTTATTGAGGAGTTGGATGAAATTTTCCAAGGATCCGATAGAAATTGTACCTTCCAAGATACCTTGGAAATGAAATATTTGGAAAGATGTCTTATGGAAACACTGAGAATGTACCCACCAGTACCGCTAATTGCCCGAGAATTGCAGGAAGATTTAAAATTGGCCTCAAATGGCTATGTTATACCAAGAGGTGCCACCATTACAGTGGCCACCATTAAATTACATCGTAATCCTTTGGTCTACAAGAATCCGAATATCTTTGATCCAGATAACTTTTTGCCCGAACGTCAAGCCAATCGTCATTATTATGCCTTTGTACCATTCTCAGCTGGACCAAGAAGTTGTGTGGGTGAGTTCAAAATGTTCCTCCTAGGCAAAAAATGATTTCAAAATTAATTGTAATTAAATTTCTATTTGGTTTAGGTCGCAAATATGCCATGTTAAAATTGAAAATTTTACTTTCCACCATCCTACGAAACTATCGTGTCCATTCCGATCTAACTGAAGAAGATTTCCGGTTGCAAGCTGATATCATATTGAAACGTGAGGAGGGTTTCCGTGTTCGTTTGGAACCACGTAAGCCACATGCCTTCAAAAAATCCACCCAGACTAATAGCACAACGCAAGCAGCAGCAGCTGCGACATCAGCAGCTATTTAGATTTATAAAAATCAATATAGATTTTTCCTTTTCCGTTTACTGTTTTTTATATATAAAAAAATTTCATTTCATTGAAAATAATAATATTTTTTATTTTATTACTTAATAATTGTTTTTATTCTTTGATTCCTTTTTTTAATTATTAAGAAATGGTCCAGTTGTGGGAATATATTTTTGTTTGTCATAATAAATGTTAACGATCTTTTGAAAATGAAAATGTATTTTTTATTAGTTTAATATATAATAATATTTTGTATTAAAAGAAATAAGAGAGATATTGTGAAATAAAATATACAAATTATAAATAAATTAAAAAATCTTTACAAGTTTTTAAAATAGGCTCCTTTCGCAGTAATGGCCTTCGTACTGAACATTAAAAATATTCCAATTTAAATAAGTTTGCAAGAATTTATGAATAAAACTTTTAAAGTATAACTGATGTCCTCCAGAACGCACTGTTATGTCGCACCCGGCATGTGGCAATGGTCCACATAACACGCAACACTTCTTAAACATCCCAGCCAAACCCAATAACCTACCCCACCTTCACTACGGACACAACTAGTACATTACATGGACAGCTGAACTGAAGCCTCTCCCTAAACGCAACACTTCTTCAACTTCCCTGCCAAACCCAATAACCTAACCCCATCTTCACTGTGGACACGCCTACAACAGCTTTTTTGAACCCGGAGTTCGAAACAGACCCAGAATAGAAGAAAAATGTACAGCAGTAAAAGCTGTTACAACATTTGTGAAAGGTTAAATGTCCACATAACTGATTTGGTACATTTCTTCAATGAAGATATTCGCCAATAATTTACAGCCACTCTGTTTACCACATGGACAGCTCAAATAACGTCTTTCCCTAAACATCATGATCGATTCCAACCTCATCCTACCCCAAAATTGTGAGGATAAAGTTCGATAGCTTATTGAAGTCGTCCACACAAGCCACCGCTATTTGCGATAAGATGAGATGCGAAGCTGGCATAAGTTAATGTCGCTTACTTATCTGTCTTCGGAATCTCTTCGAATATAGCCGATCAAGATTGCTACATTTTTTAAACCTGGAAACAGAGGAGTCAGAACCAGAATAACAACAGACAAATAACATAAGACACGTTGCATCAGTTGAATTGACCTTCCTAAACCTACTCAACTGCCACGAAATTCCCAATGGGCGCAGCTCACTCAGGTTACTACATTTATCAATTTGGAGGTATAGGAACCAGAACCAGACAATTCATAACTAGTACTATGTATTTTGTTGCTACAAGAACAACGACAGAGATTGATAAATAATCGATCGATTCTGTTTAATCCTCAAAAAATAATTTAAAATGTAAAGATCGGACGGGCTAACATTTTTGCCCTCCAATATTGAGTGGACATTCAAAAATATCTAAAAATGTATTGTGATTATTATATGGATATGATAAATAGCTGCCGAAACAAAATACAATACTACAAGCACTCAGGTTGGAAAACTGACTAGGGCCTTCAAAATACCGGGTATGACGCGTAACCTTGGTATTGAATCTATGTAGGAACATGGACTAATGTTGAAATTTGCTGTGAGGAAGTTGTGTAGCCATCAAGGTCCCGGAATGTCAAAGTACATCCACTTCGTAATGCCCAAATATAGTCACATCGGTTGAAAAAAATACCTAGGAGAACAAAATATCTACGAAAGGGCCAATAATCGATTTTTATTATTTCCAGTAGGAAAATTTGCACCCAATGAAAACTCAAAACATGTGAATAGAGAAAACTCTGTTGAAAAATATGTCGGAAATCCTTAAAATAACGAAAATTAGGGGTACCATTATATGGGAGCCATACATGATCATGCAACGATATTGGTAATTTCTAATTTGAAAGATGTGCCACCCAATGAGAACCAAAATTTATAATTTCATCCCATTCGTTGAATCAGACCAAACCAAAACCTTGGTTTGGCTGTGTAGAAACCAGAACGTAGGCCGCGAGATTTTAAAATCCATCCACTTCGTTGTACCAAAATATAGTCACATAGGTTGTAAAATGTACCTAGGAACACCAAATATCTACCAAGGGGCTGAATCTTTATAGAGGAACTGCTATAGCCAAAAATCGATCGATTTTTATAACCTACACAACCATGTTGTCATGGTATTGTAGCTTTGTGCAGCCACAAGAGGTTGTAACGCCGCGAAATATTGGTCCTAGACCCACCTTTAAGTATACCGATCGTCATATCTCGACTAGCTGAGTCGATCTAGACATGTGTGTCCGTCTGTCCAAAGAGGACTGGTTGGCCTTTAAATGGATACCAATTATATTGTCGTATGAACTCGGATGTGGAAGTTACACTTTAATATTTATAGGTGCATACGTATTGATGTATTATTTAGTAACCCATTACCAAACTAGCGCATGAGGATCCAGGTATGGTCAAGGACAACGCCTATAATTTTCGGTTATGATCAGATAATAATATTGGGATGAAGTGTACCCAAACCTATTTTCTTTTTTTTTTAGAGTCTATCTATAGGCCACAATTGAAAGCCGAACATCACAACACAACCACGATGGACAAGTAATTAGAAGGGCTGTACTGAATATCAGAATATAGAACCACAGAAAGTTTTATTTTCGTGGAAGTTGTGTAGGGTATGGTCGGCCCGCCCCGTCCGTTTCTTTGAAATTTGGGCCTATTTATAATTCATGTGGCCAATTTAAAGTTAATTACAAAGATTCCACCTTATTTCATAGCTACTCAGTATTTCTATTTCTCACATGAGTAGAAATTTTAAATTTGTATGCAAATAAAAAGGAAATAATTTCATATAAGAAACCCCCGCTTATAAGAATGAATTTCTCGAATTTTGTATGTTCGTATATCCGTTGTCTACTGTAACAAAAATGTAATCTATAATCCTTTACATTAATTCTGGATAATAATATTTATTTCAATAGGAAAAGTTGAATACACCCGTATTTCTATACCAAAATTAATAGTGTAAAGAATACACTTCAGAAAAGTGTAAAATGAGTTACAGAAATGCCCGGTTTCTACTGTGTATCAAACACAAGCCAGAAGAGGCCAGAATGCTTCTTGCACAATTCTGAAAAGAGCCACAGTTTTGAAAAATTCTAATCATCACATAGGTACAATGAGGAAGATCTCTATATCTACATATTATTTTTTCTTTTTTGAAAAAAAAAAATACTTTATACTCAAATTTGTTTACTATTTAAATCATATGAAACGAAAATAAACCACACCAATTTTAATACGAAATGTTTCCGAAAAGAATTTATTCACAATATAAAAAAAAATATGTCATCATACAAAAAATACACAACATTGCACAAAACAAAAAACGTACGTACATAAATAAATGAACTTTAGAATTATACAGTATTTTTCGGTTAATTGCACATCAAAATTTGCACAAATTTTTGTTCAATTAACCGAGGAACCAATTATCCGAACCCGTTTACTATGAAATGAAATATTTTTGACCCATCATGTGGTTCAATTAAGCGTGGAAACCAATTAACCGTAGGTTCAATTAACCGAAAAATACTGTATATAGAAAACACGAAATGGAATTATAATAGGAATTAAATACAAAATCTCCTCTCTGTCAAATACGTGTAGAAGGCACTTTTACATGGATTTCATTTGAGCCATTAAATCTTCCAGATTAACATCAGCTGCTGAGACGGTATTAGCACTGGCTGTCTCATCTTGCACCGGAGCCTCATATGCCAAACGCAAACCCTCCGTAACATTTGCAGCTGGAGCCGCCGCTGTTGTTGCTTCCTCTGGCTGAGAATCATCAACCAATTCAATACCCCATTCATTATCATCGTGAAGTTGTTCATTCGTTTCATCGACCACCTCTTCCTTGACTGGCTTGGGTTTGGCAGCAAATTCCTTTTGTCTTGCTATACAATGTCTATCATCACATTGGGTATTTGGTCGTAATGTCATTTTAGGGAAGAAATCATTCATGGCATTATAACCCAAATAATCGGAAACTTCACCAAAGTTAAGCAGATATTTTAATGTATTCTGGACCAACATGCCGGCAGTAATGCCCATTGTGGTGGGTAAGGATGCAGCACATACACCTTCACGTTTTAGAGTTTTCTCATCAATGTTTTCAGCCACAACCAAGGGTGGAGCACATGCAAAACAAGCTGTTTCACCTGGGCGTATAAATTGTATGTGTCCCGAGACAGCATTTTCCGATACACCCGACTCGAACCAATTCAAACCAAGTTCATTGCAAGCTGTATTTATGGCCATTCTCGCCTCAAAATTGTCAACACAACTCAACACCAAATCAACAGGTTGTCCGGCTTGCAGACCTCCATGGGCAATGGTATCAAGGAATTTATCAAAGGAATCTACTGTTGTAATATTGTAGTTGTGTGTTTCAATGCTAACATCGGGATTAATGAAAGCCAACGTCTTAGCTGCTGCCTCCACCTTGGATAGACCAGCCTGATCTGGTGTAAAGAACAAACGATTCATATTGGCCAATTCAACTTTGTCGTAATCGAATAAAATCAATTTTCCCACACCACAACGGGTCAACATATCGGCGGTGACACTGCCCACACCACCAACACCCACAACGGCAACAGCTTTCTCACGTATCCGTTCGTAGTCTTTCACAATGCCCATACGTTGCAGAGCCATAAGGCGACTATAGGGATTTGAGTCCACAACTTCGGCAGACATTTTTTCAATACGCTGACGAGCCTTTTGATTTTCCATACGTTGCTGGGCCAGTTCCTCTTTCATTTGGGCTAACATAGCCTGGAGTTCTTCGATGGCTGACATGTTTGCTGGTTTCCACTTTTTAGGATTCTTTCGGATGGGTAAAAATACAACAAAACTGCTACTGCTCTGCTAACTACTGTCTTCGTGTCACTTTCAAAACAAATTTTCTTAAAAAATGACTTCAACAATTAAATCACTGTTAATGGTTAGCTGCTGGCTGCACAACTCGGGTTTAGCCGGTACACAAACCAGCTGTGGGACTTGCATATGATATAGAGGTTATTTATACTATGTGATTTAAATGTTTTGGAAAATCTTTTCAGTGAAGATTGTGATCATCGGAATATAAATAAGTAAGAGGAATTATTTCAATCAAGAAGTACCTCACGGTGCTATTCGAAACTTTCGAATGAATTTGATATCCCTCATAATTTGGAGGAATTACTTGTCCGTTATGGTATTCCAGTCCCGCTGAATTAACGGGTTGTAGAATTTTTTGCTCTTGTTCTGCATCTCATTTTATCACAAATAGCAGCGACTTGCGCAGACGACCTAAATAAGCTTACGAACGTTACTCCAAATTTTAGGGTTGTTTGAGGCCGAAATTCGACCTTGATGTTCATCGTTAGCTTCATTTCTATGTGATACGCGCAGAGTGGCTATAAAATTATAAAGTAGTTTGAGGTCGGAATTTGTGCTCCTCGGTAGCATCGGCTTGCCACCATGGATTTGAGGTCTCCATTATCCGCCAAAATCGAAGTACATATATTTTGCAGCTGTACTTGTAAAATTTAACCTTTCAGGAAATGTCATCACTAGTGGTATGTTTGTCTTCATCCGCATAAATTATGAATTTCAGTAAATCTGGCTGTTATCATGTCAAAAACTTGGCAGTTTTTGGGGTCGTTCAAGTCTTACGTAAGCACTATAGGGTCAACGCTTTGCCTATTTCGGGTTAGGAGCTATGCTTACCTTTAATGTCAAGGGGAAGGGAGAGGGATAAATAATTGTAAAAAATCTGCTTCGTAATACTTAAACGGTCCCTAAGTCCGATAAACTTATTGAGACGATCCGGTACCAATAAGTTTCCGTTCGAATCTCTGACTGCAAACAGTGAAACATTTTAAGGTACGAAGTTACCAACGTTTTTTTACCAACGTAATTTTAGGTGGTAAGCGACCAATTGTGGGAGCCAATTTCGGCTCAACGATCGTGGGATCACAAAGGGATTCATTGAATAAAAATTTCAGATTTTTTCTGAGAGGTGGCCTTAAAAGCAATTATAATTTTTTAGCATTTTGTCGTTATAACCGATATGCCGATAAAAACGATGTCATAATAGTCGATTTCGACTGTATGAGGGTCGACCTCCATTATTGCGAATTCTATCGCCATCATGGTACACTATAGTTCCGTTCCAGAACCTGAAAGAATCTACTCATTTTACATGTTTTGCAACTTTTTACTCGAAAACCGTTCCTCAACCCACAAAACTGGTAAAACATTAAATCAAATTTAAGAGAGCACAAAATAAAATGGCGTTCTCTTTGTAAACTTTTTACTCGAGAAATTTCCCGAGATATACAAATGGTAAACAGGAATGCCTACTTCATGATTGGCTGTTATGTTGACTTTGAAGTATTGCCATATATTTTGCATATTTACTAGATACCTGTGGTAAAGAAAAATCGGAGAACTTTTCAAATTACTTTGTACTCTGAGGGCAATTTTGAAATGTTTCCCTTTTACTAGATTTACTATTAAAAAAGTACTGGAACAGATCAATTATTTTAATCTATACCTCAATTTAATTTCATTACAATTATTTTATCTAAAGAACCCTTAATACATGTTTGACTTTTCAACATACTATTTCATGCAACCATGTGCGGTTTATTTTCATAAAACAACCGTGTGTCGCGTTGTCACTTTTCAGCACAAACAAATTTTGGGAAGCAGGATAAAAATATTTTAGGGAAAATAGTAAAAATTTAAACGCTGAAACAATGACGAAGAATAACGAGAAGCAACAATTTGTTGAAGAGGTACAGAATATTTAAAAAAATCCACATATTGACTACCAAGAAGTTTGCCAATATTGTAATTTGTGGTGAACCACGTCATGGTTTTTGCAAAAACAATTATTGGGTCGTGTCAGTGGTTGTTTTTCTTGTTCCTTTTTTAAGCAGGTGTCAGCCAGTCCGTGTGAATTAATTTTTATTGTCTACTTACTTTTTGCAGGCGGTGAAAATCAACAAATGGGATGCCACTGCTGTCAAACATGCTCTCGATGATGCTGTTAAAAATGCCCTCTTCTCAACCCGTCCTCAATTGAAGGAACAATTCGGTTTAATTAACACCCGCTTGGTATTTTGCACCTTGGCTGTTGGTGTTGCTGTCTTGGCTCACTGCTGGGACTTTACACATCCATTCCCAGAATCGAAACCCGTCTTGATGCTATGCGTTATTGCTTATTTTGCTCTGATGGGTATTCTTACATTGCACACAACATTCCGTGAAAAGGGCACCTTTGCCGTGGCCATTGAAAAGCTATCGAATGGTTCGCAGCGAACATGGGAAGCCAGTTCAGATATGCAAAAATATGATGATAAATATACGTTGGTGCTATCCGTTAAAGATTCGAAATCGCTGAGAGAGGCGACCAGTGTTAAGTCGTGTGCATTCTTCATCGATTCCAATGGTTATGTTGTCGACAAACAAGTGGCCAATGAAGTTAATCGTCTGTTTAATTCGTTGTCCGATGAAAGGAAAGACAAGTAGCTTGATGGTGATGATTTGATTAATATGGAAGAAAAGGAGGATGAAAATTTAATGTTAGATGATGAAGAAGAAGACGTAGCAGCAAGAGCAACAACACAAGTATTGTGTGTTTAAAGGAATGAGAAAAATAAATAAATGCAACATAATAAATAATTAAAAAAAGAATGAAGTATTGGAATCTTAATATTTATAGTTAGATGGACAATTGTTTTGAATCGTTCTAAAGCCATGTTGAAGTATTGAAGCAAGTAAGTTAAATGCCCTGTCCCGCATCGTTTTGAAAGCACATATAATGGCCAGCCCCGATTACAACGATATTTCCTTTCGTTAGTCCCATGTGACCCTTGTATTTTATATTGTATTGAATTTCAAATCTAAATTCCCTTTAATCGTCATATAAACCTCCAATTCATCAAGGGGCGATTAAATTAAGGCTATGTTTACATATGGACCTATATTTAAGTTGTTTGGGAAGGAGGTCTGGTTCCGTCGGTGCTGCCGATAGACATATGCCCTCAGTCTATGGCGTGGACAAATTCGTCCCATCTTTGGACTAGATTTAGACTTGTTAAAAATATTAAGAATAGCAAAGTTGGGAATTTCAAAATGTTCAAGATTTTTTTACCTTTGTGGGGGAGCTATTAGAAGGAGTGGACTGTAATTTCGGCAATATTTTGACCATTTTGTGTGGGAGTTTCCCGGACGAGTGAACCTATATTCTCCATATTTGAATGTGATTTAAGTTTGGGAAAGTCCCCATGCTTTAAGCTTTGGATGGGATTTATAAATATTTAAAATTTTAACGCTTTTTGGGGAGGTACCAGAAGGAGTGGGTCATGCGACCCATTTTTTCTTGTTCTAAGAGTGGTAGAAATATTACGAAAGTTTATATAATATTTTTGTAAAGTTTGGATGAATAATTTTTGTTCGCTTCTAATGAGATTTGCAGCTTTTAAATATTAACTCTTTGTGGGGGTGGTACTTGAAGGTATGAACCGATATATCCCATTTTCCAACATTATACAGGTTAGGTTAAAATATATGGTTGTGCAAAATTCGATTCAAATCAGATAGTCTGTTTGCATGTTACAAAATTAATTTTCAGCAATGTTTTTTACTATTTTCGGGGGAGTTACCAGAAAGAGTGGAACTCGATTTATGTCTGAAATATACAGTTTAGATGAAATCGGTTACTCCCTTGGAGAATATTCGTGCGCACAGAAGAACGGAACGAGGTACTTGAATGTATGGACCGCTATATCCCATTTTCCAACATTGTACATTTGAAAAAATTGGCTCCAAATTGTTTAAACGGATTTGGTTAAAAATCTTGGGGTATAAAACCAATATTTCTTTGAAGCACATTAGCCATAATGCCAAGGGTATAAAAACAGATGCTTCGATTCCACACTCTAGGACCTTCACTATACCAAAAATGGGTGGTGCAAAGGAAAGAACATCATCGACAAGAATTTTTTTGCAATTAAAAGCTCAATCGCTTCGTAAAGATATCCATATTTTTTTAGTTTTAAAATCAATATGAAAATAGGAGACCCAATGGAGGCCTATTTTTATGGACTTTCGCAAGGAAAAATTAAATAATTTTAATTTGTTCCTCTGGGACTATTTACCGTACAAATTGAAAACGATCCGCGACCATTCCTTACGTTTGACATAATCCGAAATTGTTAGACCTTTATGGAATGGACTTCACCTAGGTCTGCCAAGGTTTACTCGTAGGATTTCAGACTACCGAAACATGGATTTCGGTCAGTATTGTTGTAAATATAGGAATATGATAAATTTGAGGTCCCAAATAAAACATTACGACGATTGGGCCACAATAAAAAAATTTTCTCACAAGGTCGTTGATATAGTTTAAAAAAATTCTCGTAGAATTTAATTCAGTATAACAATTTTTATTTTATTCAATTTAATGTTATACTAACTTAACAAAAACAATTCAAAAATCCGACTCCCCTCCAAATTTTTCCACGATCATTTTATCAGTAGCAAAAGAGAAATTCATTTGATAGGGCTCCTAATAAGGTTTTACCACTATCAAAGTCATAAGTGCTAAACTTGACAAAAAATCCCATGGAAAGAATTTGAAAAGGAAATGCAAATTTTGAAATTATTTCTTTTTAGAACGTCCACGCTTAGACGAGGTGGTGGTTTTGGTTGAAGATGGTTTTGCGGTGGCTTTAATTTTCTCTTTATCAGCGTCATCGGGGGCATTGGGGGAATTAGACTCACCTTTTGTCACAGATTTTCCCTTTCCTCTCTTGGGTTTTTCATCTTTGACAATCACTTTTGTTTCTTCATTCTCCCCCGCCTCTTCTTCTTGCTTCTCTTTAATATCTTCCACCTCCTCCTTTATTTCATCATAAGCCGAAGATAATTTTAGATGTTTTTTAATCATCTCAACCATTTCACCTGGATCAGGGAATTTTTGAGCCCTTGGTGTACGCTTAATACCCGTCCATATGAGATTGCGTTGTTCAATTTCACTGGAGGGCAACTCGCATATGGCCACCTCAAACGCCCCACGTCTTGGCGGACCATCGAAATTAATAGACAATTGTAAATCTATTTTAGGTTTCAACAAATTTAAAATCTCACGGTGCAGTGCTTCTGCCCGCCGTCTAAATACGGATCAGGAACGGCAGCATTCGATATAGAGAACTGGACAGTTTGGTTTCAGTTCTTCTGGTTCGATTTTTGATTTCTTCGCCGCAGAGGAAGAAGATTCCTAGAAATTGAAATATTATTAGAAATTATATTGGTATAAAATTAAATAAATTTACCTTGGTTGCTGCTCTTTTCTTCGGAGGCATTGTTAAACACAACTTTTCATTCAGAAGTCTGGCAAATGAATGAAATTTGCGACGCAAATTAAATTTTACGCGCCTTTTTCTAATAGTACAGCGGTTGGTTTTTTGTGACATAGTTGTGTTGTGATTGTCTATGGTGGGAATACTTATAATACGACGTGTGTAATATGTCAAAAACAATATAATACAGTGACAGTCAATTTTAACCCATTAAAATGAAAATAAATGCTTTGTTCCCCTCTCCATACTTAGTAACACTACGATATTTTATTCGGAGAATCCATAAAAGAAGCCAAATAAAACGGTACCTTCGATATTCGCTAATTTAGGGATTTTTGGAATATGTTATTTTTTAGGCACCTGTAAAAGAATACGCTCAATCTTGTTCTGCTTCTAACTTCAGGTTGAAAAAGGCTGTGTCCTGTATATATGGACTCAACAGTCCATAGTGAATAAGGGAATAATTAAGTTGGTTTTTGGGCAATTGAGGCTGATACACCACCTTTGTTCACTCCTGCTTTTCCTGTACGTCAGAAAACCAACCTAGAGTCGCATCTTTGTCCACCTCCCATGTTCTGCCGCCTAGAGACCTGAGAAACTTGTTCCTACTTCTAACGATATTGAGAATGCGCGGATTTCTATAGGGACTATCGAATGTGACGCATAGAATTTTGGGGTGGTCGGAATTCCCTATGCTATCCATCATTGTACAATTATAAAAGGTAACAGCAAATCCCAGCTGATTTGATTCCAACGTAATACTAGTGTCAATATGAATTTAACAAATTATGTTTTTAAAAATCACCCAACAGGAAAATTGGGAACTCATACAATTTAAAATTGTTCTTTATTAAATGTGCTCCTGTACTCAATTTATTCAATCTGCCTGCTGGGAAAGTTTGAGGAAGCAAATCTTTCTTCAAGGAATAACTCGCTATTCCCAGCATTTCCATATGTGTTACACATATATATGGCAATGACTCAATTATAGGAAAGATGTGGAATAGATAGAAATATAAATTTGATAGATTTTCATTCATGTTTTTCAATTTTTATTTTGAGGATTCGAACATATTTCATTTTCAAAATAAAAAAATTTTGATGATATTTTGTTCCTTTGTTTACATTTTTCTGTCAAATGAGTTGACACTAGTAGAACTTACAACAACAAATTTCCATGTGGTTGTTGTATCGTTTTTTGTACAACAACACTTGCTGTTACCTTCTATTATTATACCATGGCTATCCATGTGACCGCTGACTTCATGGAGGATATTTTCATATGCCAGCAGCAGCATGTGCAATATATACGGGTATGTAATAATCTCAATGCCGTCTTGTGGGCGTGGAATACAAAAGTTTAAATAGTTCCGTAGATATCACATCACCTTGTTGATCTTCATGTTTAACTCTGAATTTGACGCTAGTCGTACGCACATCATGATTTTACATATCAAACTTGACGTCCTCGATCAGCTTGATGTGATTGGCAATATAAAATTCGTTTGATTAATCAAGCAACACCATATCTATTCTATCATACGTCCTGCTCTAATTGAGTCCTTTTTCATAATTTACGCGGGAAATTATGAAAAATGATCTGCAAATATTTTTGTCGCCCTCCAAGAGCTCGGAATGTCAAATAAATCACAAATTCGTTTTTGTACTCTCAACGTTACGGTTAATCAGGGTATAAATATTTAAAATATTGATTTCAGACCGCAACTTTATTGGGAACCTTTTCAGACAATTTCGATTCGCTTTTCAAATGTTTGCCTGTCTTCGGCGCACGACGACTTTAGATGGGAGTAAATCATTTCATCCAATGATTGAATTTTAATACTTCTTTCAATCTACGATCAAGATTGAAGATAGACAATACCGGTCCATTTCTTCTGGTATCTGCCCCACAAAATGGTTATGTAAACAAATGGGTGGTCCGATTTTTTTTTAAATAATAATCTTTGGTTTACTCATTATAGTACCTCACTATCAAAGGGTCAACGTTTTGAAAAATATAAATTTCATACGTAGCGAACGGAACATCCCATTTTTTCCAAAACTTTGCACAACGTAATATTTTTACCAAACCTAGATCAAGTCCGAAGATGGAGCCTATCGGTTCACCCCTTCTGGTACCGCAAAATGCCAAACTTTGAACATTTTTTAAATGCATTATCAAACGAATGGTGGGTCCGATTCGATCCAAACTGCGAATAATAAAAAATAATGTTTTTACGAAAACTAGATCAAGTTCGGAAACTCATACGAACCGAACGGAATATTCGATTTGATTCATTAGTTAGACATTGTAATATTAATTTTAAAAAACCTATAGGGCAAATTCTAGTACCATTACCACAAACGGTCACAATTTTAAAACCAGTGAGCGGAGCAGTATAGTCGGACGAGGCTGAACATATAATACCATACACAACTACCACGGAACTTTAACTTACTGCTGCTCTATATTTTGAGCTTGGGCAATATTTCGTGATATTTGAAGCCTATTGGCCGATTAGAGGTCAACGGTTATTCTTGGCATATTTTCCGAATTTTGTTTTCCAAGGGTGAACATTTACGCCTTAGGATGTTAGTGCATTAATTTTACTCAGATTGATCTAGGACCGGCTGAATATTGACCGATCATCATTAAAAAAGCCCTTGGCAGATTGACAAATTGAAAACACTCACGCTTACTCTTATTCTTTTATTCTCTGGGTAAAATTTCGTGATGATCATGTGATAATTTTGGCCTACAGAGCGATTAGAAAAATAGACAAAAATAACGTTTTGGGTCAATTTCATTCCCTAAATATTAATCGATTATTTCGACTGAGCAAGAATATTTTCACAAAGCTATAATACCTTACAAAATGGTTGTGCAGGGTATAACAAATCGCGTATAGACAGTGATTTCGACAGGATAAGTGTATTCTTCATATATCCCATACTGAGGATATATATCTGCGACATTTTTTCTTGATTTTTTTAATAAAATTAAAATAAACAAATTGCAATGTGATGAAATTCCAACACTCCCATCTCTGCACAGATTTTTTTATAATTTCACCACGCACGTGTCATGTACAGAATTCGTATGACATTCTCACCACACAAATGTCATTCTCGACATGGCTCTTTTTCGTTGAAGTCTGCTTATATGAATGTTAGCAGGAAAAAAATTACCCATTTTTCGGAGTGTCGGGAATTATAACAACAATAAAACGACAAATTTTCTGTAAATAAATAAAACGAAGTGAACTTTCAGTCAATTTTTGTTGAAACATTAACTCCGAATCGAACGTATTTTGTGACAGAAGAAAATTCGTACGTTCGATAGTAGACAGAGTGAGCAGAGCGAGTGTGTGTGTGTAAATACGACAACAACGAAGTAGCAGAACACCGAGCAGCAGTAGCAGTACAACACCGAGTAGAGCAAGAAGAAATCAAAGCACAGCAAAATGGGTAATGTTATGGCAGCATCGTCAACGCCGAGCAGCGCTGCGGCATCTCTGGACAAGGCGGCTAAATCGGGAGTACCAGCACCACCACCAGCTCCAGCTGGCCTTGCAGCTGTGGAGAGCACACCGGTAGCCGATGTTAAATTGGAAAATCCCGGCACCGTTGAAGAATTGCATAAAAAATGTAAAGGTATGTTGTCCAATGCTAATCGCTCGATATGAGGGTTATTGCTGGTTCGCTGCTGATGACATAACCTACAACATGTGTAGAAAATACTTTAATATGGAACTCTGAATGAAACTTTTACGAATTTATGTAATTTTACAAATATTTAATTGTCATTTGCAGATATCCAGGCAATGACCTTTGAGGGGGCAAAGGTAATGCTGAACAAGGGCCTTAGCAACCACTTCCAAGTGTCGCACACACTCAACTTGTGCAGCACACAGCCCAGTGGTTATAGATTCGGGGCTACATATGTGGGTACCAAACAATACAGTCCATCGGAGGCTTTCCCCGTGCTGTTGGGTGACATCGATCCATCGGGTAATTTGAATGCCAATGTTATTCATCAATTCTCACCCCGTATCCGTTGTAAATTTGCCTCGCAGGTTTGTAAATATTGAGATTGTGATTTTTGTTGTTGTAATTTTATTATTTCTTGTTATTTTTGCCCTGTTTGATTTAAGATTCAAGAATCGAAAATTACCGCTGCCCAACTAACAACAGATTATCGTGGTGATGATTTTACTGCCTCTCTGACTGTGGGTAATCCAAATATTTTCAACAATTCCGGTGTATTTGTTGGCCACTATTTGCAATCGGTTACCAAGAGCATTGCTTTAGGTGCTGAATTAGCCTATCAGTATGGCCCTAATGTTCCCGGTGGACAAATTGCTGTACTCTCCGCGGTCGGCCGTTATACCAGTGGTGATGCGACATGGTCAGGTACCTTGGGTCCCGGTGGTGTACACATTTGCTACTACCAAAAAGCCAGTGAACAATTACAAATCGGTGTCGAGGTTGAGACCAGTCTAAGAATGCAAGAGTCTGTTGCTACCTTAGGTTATCAAGTGGATTTGCCAAAGGCTGATCTCGTTTTTAGAGGTAAGTGGGACTGTTTTAGGGTTTTGTAATTTAATTTGAAGATTTATTCAGGCGAAGAAGGAGGATATGTAGAAGATTATACACTGTCTTATATGGATAGACCTTTGGAAAGCCCTCAGATTCTAGTTTTTTTTTCAAAAGTAACCTTTAAAAGTTATTCCTCATAAAGACCAATTGGAGATCATAGGTCCTTATTAAGACAAATTGGTTTGTATAGAGATCATAGCTTTTTATAAAGACCAATTGGTTTGTATAGAGACCATATGTCTTTATAAAGACCAATTGGTCTGTATAGAGACCATAGGTCTTTATAAAGACCAATTGGTCTGTATAGAGACCATAGGTCTTTATAATGACCAATTGGTCTGTATAGAGACCATTGGTCTTTATAAAGACCAATTGGTCTGTATAGAGACCAGATCCAAGGTCTTTATAAAGACCAATTGGTCTGTAAAAAGACCAATTGGTCTGTATAGAGACCATAGGTCTTTATAAAGTTCAATTGGTCTTTATAGAGACCATAGGTCTTTATAAAGACCAATTGGTCTGTATAGAGACCATAGATCTTTATAAAGACCAATTGATCTGTATAGAGACCATAGATCTTTATAAAGACCAATTGGTCTGTATAGAGACCAGAGGTCTTTATAAAGACCAATTGGTCTGTATGGAGACCATAGGTCTTTATAAAGACCAATTGGTCTGTATAGAGACCAATTGGTCTGTATAGAGACCACATGTCTTTATAAAGACCAATTGGTCTGTGTGGATACTAAAGGTCTTTATAAAGACCAATTGGTCTGTATAGCGACCATAGGTCTTTGAAAGGCTAAATGACCTTTATGTCTTTATAAAGACCAATTGGTCTGTATAGAGACCATAGGTCTTTATTATTATTTATAAAGACCAATTGGTCTGTGTAGAGACTACAGGTCTTTATAAAGACCAATTGGTCTGCGTAGAGACTATAGGTCTTTATAAAGTCCAATTTGTCTGCGTAGATACTATAGGTCTTTATAAAGACCAATTGGTCTGTATAGAGACCATGTACAGATTTTTATTATATTTTTATTAAAAGAAGAACTACTGAAGGTCTTATAATTCTAGAAGACTTTAAAAATAATTTAAGGAAAATTTTCAATCTTCAGTGTTTTGATTTTGTTTACTTCTATTCAAATTTTTATACTCACCTAATGACGCCTGTTTTGTTTTATTTCAGGTTCCTTTGACTCCAATTGGAATGTGTGCGGTGTATTAGAGAAACGTTTGCAGCCATTGCCATTTTCATTTGCATTAAGTGGACGTTTGAATCATACCAAAAATCAATTTAGATTAGGATGTGGACTTATTATTGGTTAACCGTAAAACCTGAAATATATATACAGAGCAATAAGGATTATGGTTAAGTCTTTAATAAAACTACAAAAATGAAAACAAACAAAAACAAAATTACCCAAATTCATCAGAAGCAGAAATTAATTCAATTACCCAAGTTTAGAAAAAAATCTGAATATGAACAAACTATGACAATGCTTCCTTCCAACACAAAGAAAAAAAGAGAACAAATGAAAGAGAAAACTACATCCAATAAAATTGATAAATTGGAAAAACACACATTAGAATTTTCATGAAAACCCAAAATATTCGTTTTCTTTTTTCCATTTGAGATTAGTAAGAAAGTATTTAGATTTCGGACTGTGGTATCTATAAAGAGCAATATAAAAGACGAGCGGATACTACAACAATTAGATCTTTGATTGCTTTGTAACTATATATATTTTGCCCATCTGCCATCTGCCATCAACACCGCCAATATTGTTTTTTTACATATTTTTTTTTTTATTGAGGATTATTGTTTATCCTTTTAAATTAATGTTTTCAATATTGCATTTGTTTAGGTTTAATGTAATATTATGTTTTGCCGGAACTAATCACCTTGTTTTAGAACAATTTACAATTTAATTACCTCTTAAGCCATAATCCGATCCATCAACAATAGTTTTTTTTAACATACAATTCTAATTTGTTTCCTTTTGTTATTATCATTAATTCAAATAAATATCTCCTCCATTATTTTTTTGAAATAGTTCCTTTAAACGTTTTCTAATTTGAATACCTTCATTACCTCCAATTAATGATGTTTTTCTCCGTTAAAAATAACATTTTATTAACAACACACCCTAACATAAATACTTCCTAACAATTAACATTGTTTTTAAATTTATAAATTAAAAATAATTGATGCATTGATGCATTTCATGGAAATCAAAATTTTATTTCTTTTGATATCGTATTCTTTTAATTATATTCAAATTGCCTTTAGGTTTTAATATAATGATAATATTCACATTTATCTGGGTTTTAATTATATTGCTAAATGCAAAATTCTCTTTTCTTTTTTTTTATTAATTCATAGTCAATAAGTTATTATTATTATTAGTTACAACAGTCGGTAGTAGTTTTAAATCAATATTATAAATGAAAAACAAATTTAAAAACCGAAATAAAAGTGTTTTGTTGACCAAAAAACCAAAATAAACAATGCAGTTTTTATTCCGCATAATATTATCTAAAATTTCAAAAGGCTTTCTAAGATTCGTTACTATTTCAATCATTAGGAAGTTATTCCCAAAATTGAATGAAATTTTATTTTGGGGTTTCATGAAAATATTCTACGATTTTTCATAGTTATTCTTGAAAAGAAAAAAATTATTTGTTCTTATATTGAAAATCTATTGAGATATTATTCAAAAATATGTAGAAATATTTTATGCAATGGACTAATTTTTAAAAATCCGACATCTGTCTATAGAAGACATTTTATAAGGGTTTTAATTTACAGAAATCGTTTAGAATTTCTATTTAGAGTAAAATTGGCTATATGGTATTTGGAAATTGTCTAACTATCTATAAAAGATTTTTGGAAATTACACTATCTTTTGAGATATTCTATTTAGAAGACCCTTCGATACAAAAAACATGTTTCTATTTACACTCAAAAACCTTTATCTGCTTATGACTACAAAAAATCTCATATGTCCTATCTTTCGCGAGGTCTTAAGACCACAACTCATTGAACACAATAAGAAACAATTTTTGATATTTTTTTACCAGAAAACTTTTAAACGTTTTTATGCGATTTTTTATCTAAAACGTCAGACCTTCGATTTTTTCTTCAAGAGGCAGAAGAGCATGGGCTATTAGTCTTCTATTTATAGCAGTTCTTCAAAAAGTCCGTTTATGATTTAAATCTAATCGAAAGACATAAAAATCGAATCCAAATTGTCTTTAATCATTTTGATCGAGCATAATTGGCCTGTTCTCGTTCTGCAAGAATCTATTACTTTTTAATACGATAACCAATTATCATTTGTGATATCAAAGAAAATAGTAAAATCAAGAAGATTCTTGCAGCACGGAACATAGCAATATTTGGATGCTTAAATCCATATTTCGATGTGATAAAATTTGGATTATGTTGAAGTGTTATGCCCTATTTATCCAGAAGAATGAGCTCGTATTGATGACCTGAAGATCAGAAAGCTTACGTCTTTCTTATATAAAAATAATATTCTTTTTGCGTAAAACCTAATATCCTTCTTTAAAAAAAAAAACACCAGAGATTTTATTTTATAGAAAAAAAAACAGGGAATTTGTTGGTTTTCTCATCGAACTTTCGAAATACAAAGAGAAAAAAAAAACAATTTTGATAAATTGATGATTCTTGCTAGTTCAGGAATAGATTTTTTGAATCAACCTGTAATTGTCGAAAAACATTAAACAGGGTGTTTCGAAGAAAATGAAAATAACAGTACCTAATTTGAAATGTAGATGTCAGTGTGGTATAAATTAAACAAATATGAGACATTTTAAAGACAAATTAAAGAAAATTTGAAAAGTAGACCTATCCCGACATTTCTACAAATCGACTATGTAAACCATGTACACCAAATATGAATTTCAGCAATTTTTAATATATATTTATACCCTCAGCCTTATGGCTAATGATGGTGTATACACTTTGATAGGGTGAAAATGTACCTCATGGAAATATTGGTTCTAGACTCCATGTTTCTTTGGATTTCATCCAAACTTTGCACATTCTATTATTTCTTCCAAACTTAGTTCAAGTTCGATGATGGGGAATATCGGTCCACTCCTTCTGGTACCTCCCACACAATATGGTCAAAATTGTGCAAAAAAGTCAGTTTTGAACCAAACTTTGCACAGTCTATTATCTTTACGAAGTCTAGATCAAGTCCGAAGTTGGGACCCACCATGAAAATTGGTATTGCAGAAAAAAAATTGTATGTGTACGTCCCTGGAGGCTATACCTTAAGCGGGACCAATGTTGATTACATCGTGTTAGAACTAGTCTTTTGCATCAGAATACATTTATTTACGCTAAATATTAATATGGGGGGCTAAATGCGGGCTATAGTTTATTTATAGTTCATTATCGAACCTTACATTCTAGTTTTTTATCTCGATATCTCCCGCAGGTGAAATGATTACAACAGAGTCTTAGAACCAAACCCAAACGCGGAACAAAAACTGTTTTATACAAAAAACTGTTTTAATACAAAAAAGGACGTTATATGGAGACTACCCCAAAAAGTGGCGATTATTTTGGTAGGGAGATTTGCTACCATATACCAAATTGCAGCGAAATTGGTTGGAAAACGCTCTCAAGAACCCCAAAATACCGAAAATTGGGCGCTATCCAAAAAAATGGACCTATATTCATAATTTTTTGTGGAGAGATTTGGTACCTGTTAAGAACTCAAAATACTAAATAACAGCCAATTCGGTGGAAAAATCCAATCAAGACCCCCAAAATACTGAACATTAGGGGGTACCGTTATATGGGGGCTAGCAGAAAAAGTGGACCTATATATATATTTTTGTTTAGAAATTAAGGGGACCCCCCCCCCATTCTCGGGGTCAAAATTTTTGTTGACTTAATTCCAATCTACACTAATTCAAGAATGTCCCTGCAAAATTTCAAGTTAAAATCTCAAGAACTCTTGAAGATATAGCCGATTTATTGTGTCAGCATCAAGTGACGGCTGAAGGGCTTCTCAAACTTTAAACGCGTTTTTCTCTAAACATTTTTTTGCGAATGGCGGGCACGATAACTCAAAAACTAATAACCCAATCGATTTCAAATTTTTACACGTTTCTCTGTGAGTGTGCTGCTATCGTATGAACTAGGATAAAGCCAATCGGTGAAGATCTTCCTTATTTTTTAACTTGGTTTTTGGTAAAAAATCGGTGATTTTTCAAAAATATTTTTTCAAAGGTCCGCCATTTTGTTAATTTTAGAGCGAGGTCAATAATCCTAGTTCATACGAGAGCCAGACATGTACTCTTTCTAACACCGTTGGAATTTTCGAATTCCGATGTTCCAGTGAGGAGTTATCATGCCCGCCATCAAAAATAAGGACATTTCTTTGATCACAAAAAACAACAACAAAACAACAACAAAATTTTTTTGTAAATTATTTTTCTTCCTTTTTAAATCTTCAAATATATATGTGCAAAGTTACAAACCTTAACAAGCATTGGTATTCATTTACCAGCCCATTTAAAATCTTAAAAATAAAAAATCGAGAATGGGGGGGTTCCCTTAAGTACCCAATAAAAGCCGGATATTCCAAATTTCAGCGAACTCGGTTGAAAAAGTACTAAGTTTGATACAAAATATGTATTTGGGCGAATCGATAGAGCTGCAACATGAAATTTGGAATTTAGATTGGAGTATGTCGGAAGTTTTGGAAATTCGTACTAATGATTGTTAGTGTAGGTAGTTATGGAAATGTATATATCATGGCTTTGTGATATATTCTTATACTGGTCAACATACCCTATATCCATGATCATTTAGTTTAGACTGGAATTTTTTTGATTTAATTCTTCTTTGTTCTACTTCAAATGTGTCCTTCAAGTGAATGCCTTACTTTTTTTATTATTATTAAATTTTTATATTTATTTACATTTCTGTATTTTGGCCTCAGCGCCCTAGTGGCATTATTGAGGCAATTGGCAACATTTAGAATTACATCATTAAATGTTAATATTTAATTAAAAAATATAAATTTAGTAAACATTCATACTAGAAGTGTTTCTTTTATGGAACATAAGTATTTTTTACAGGCAGACTTAAATTTCGAAATATTCTGTAGTGATTTTATATCTGGTGGCAATTCATTATATCTTTTACTGCCAATATAATCAATCCTTTGTTTGGTTTTTTCCAATCTACATCATGCGATTCGCAGGTTGCTCTGATTTCTTGTGTGCACATTATTTTGGTTTTGTAGAATAGTGATTGTATGGTGGCCAATTTGTTTGATATTTTTGAAAATATAAACTAGAGTTTGATATATATGTCGTCCATGAATAGGTAATACATTTAGTGCAAAGTCCCTATATAATGACTCTGTGGA